GTTTATATCGTATTGGTTATATAGAATTACTTTTATGCAATAAAAGTACGTACAAACATAAGAGTATTGCTTAATATATAACGAAGACGAAAAAAAAAAAATATTTTTTAATATAAAATCTCAAGTTGTCAGTTAACGTAATATTTGTTTAATCTAAAAGTTTTGTAACTTATATATACTGAAAGTGTGGATGCCCCAAACAGAAAAATTTTCAGGAACATTGTTGTACCTTTGCATTTGAATTCGGAAGTTTAAGAATATCGGAAAAGTTTGCAAAAACATTTCTTCGCGTAATTAGGTTTTCCATTGAATATGGTAAAACAAAATAACATTTACGTATCTCTACATACACATATGCAGCCAAAACGACGACACGCTTTAATTCGCCGCCGATTCGACACACGGATATGTCAAATATATGTTAGTGTATCAAGCCTCGCTGTGTCTCTTAGCTACTATGAGCTGAGAGACGCAGCGAGCCGTGATTCGCGAGTGTCACAGTCGCGCGCTGGCGGAAGATATTTTTCTTTCGGCTACCGCTCCCGGTGCTCTCATTACTTAGACAAAATAATTAATTTTTTGAAAACTATTGCGTAAAACGGCACGTAACTTTCTTACTCACCTCAATCCGTTCTATATTCTCGCAAAGTGATTATAGTGGTCTGAGACACTCTATATACAGGATGTCTCAGAACAATCTACGAAGCTTTCGTGAGAACGTAGAGCGCGTCGAGGTTAACATCCAAAGTTTCTAGACAGACCAATTGGCAAATATCCAAGAGCCTTAACCGTTGTGCAGAATACTTTAGAGCTGACCGACCGCTGACAACGGAATACTTTAAATTGTTGTAAAAGTTATTCAGTAAAATAATTTGTTGAAAACTCGAAAAACAATAAACCGAGAGACATGAAATCTTATTTATTACTATTGTCAAAAATATGAATATAAATGTCCATTACAAAAGTTATTAATTATTGCCTGCATCGAGAATATATATATATATATATATATATATATATATATATATATATATATATATATATATATATATATATATATATACACATACACACACACACACACACACATACAGAATGTCTCAAAATTGTAACACACCAACTTCATAGAAGCGTAGAGTTAAGCGAGAGGATCAGAAAAATCCTCTTCCACTTAGCGATAACGCGTCTAGTTTGTTAGTAACACCGCGTAAAGTTTGGCGTTTGTTAAGCTAGCCACACACACTTTCGTAACAGTAATCGTAAGACGTAACGTAAGAATTGACCAATCATGTTGAGAATCGTCGAATTGTCGAAGGTCGCCATTTTAGTGAATACTCGATCGTAATTGATCAATTCTTACGTTACGTCTTACGGTTACTGTTATGAAAAGTGTGTGGCCAGCTTTACGCCCATCGCGGCCTATACACGTTCCGCGGCGAGTTGTATGCGTCGAGGCTGAGCGGTAACGCGGCTCATGCTGGTCGCCACGATAGTGTCTTGATGTTTCGACGCTGCCGGCGCGCGGCGAGGCGACGATGAACACGCCGCATTACCGCTCAGTAGAGGAGGAGGGCGTACTAGGTGGCGGCGGGACGCCGTGTGTTCGAGATCAGCGTATCTTCCAGAGAGAGAAAAATATCGAGAGTGCGTTTTACTCGAGCCCGGATCTTTTGCTTGCCGGGCGACTGCTCTAAACCACCGAGCTACCTGACGCTCCACGCTCACGACTCTTCTATCCCTAGATAACTCTCAGAGATGCCGTTCGGAAGCGACATCTCTGGCGCGATCTCGAGCGCATGGCGACTACAAAGAGAAACAATATTACTGTACCAAATGGTACAGCTGTCAGTCTCTTAAAGTCAAAGGTTGCTATCCTTTAAGACCTGCTGCCCATGTATGCCCGTCTCCACCGTTGCCCCTCCTCATCCGGTGCAAATAATACAAATCGATTCCGGGATGTTCGAGATCAGCGTATCTTCCAGAGAGAGAAAAATATCGAGAGCGCGGTTTTGCTAGATCGGGACTCGAATCCGGGTCTTTCGTTTACCGGGCGACTGCTCTAAACCATTGAGCTACCTGACGCTCCACGCTCACGACACTCTATAGATAGTGAGTGTCGACTACTGTGGTCTTGCCGACATCGAGTCGTGACTCGGCATCGGACAAGAGTCGGCAAGCCTGGCTTGGACCGGTATCGCGCCGCGATACCGTCAGATAGTGTAGAATGTAAAAGCGAACTGAGGTAACACGCGACATCTTGACAATAACATCAAGAAGACGAGAGAAAGTGTGTTGAGCAGGAGCCTGGGTAGTTCAGTGGTTTAGAGCAATCGGCCGGTAAGCGAAAGACCCGGATTTGAGTCCCCGGCCCAGCAAACTCCGGCTTCCGATATACTTTTCTCTCCGACTCTTACAATAGTGAGTATCGGCTGCTGTATCCTGCCGACGTCGAGCCGTGACTCGGCATCGGATAAGAGTCAGCAAGCCTTTGGACCGACGTACAGTGGGGACAAATAGAAATTTACTGTTAAAAAATCGCTAGAGACCACAATTTTATAGTAGTCGGGATAAATTTTTCTTTAAATTAAACGTTAATCAATATAGAAAAAAAACTGTCGAGTCAGATTTTTAAAAAATTCTTGTAAATGTTGCAATATTAATAAGAATTTTTTAAAAATTATATGAAAAAAATGTTTCTGTAGCACGAAGTGTATAATTGTAAGATATATTAGGTTTAGGTTGCTGAATACGACTTTAATTCTTATTAATATTGCAACATTTAGAAGAGCTCACGTAGTTGTTTATTTTCTTCTTATAGAGCTCTGAAAATAAATAATTTTTATCTCTTGCTATTTTTTGGTAAAGTTGATAGAATTCGAGTAAAAAATTATTAAAACCAATAATTTTGTAGATATTTCCGTAAATATCTTAGAACATAGAGGTCGTATAAAAAATATCTTCAAACAAAAGTTGTTTGTTTCTTTACGCAGAATAAAATTCCGTAATAAAAAATATATGTTTCTATTTAAAAAAGCAAAATTAACTTCGACCTGATCTTGGCGGCGCCACATCAGACTGACTAGATCAGTGAATAGATCATTTAAAACCCTACAACTTTTGTAGGAAACATTTCTTTCGGAAATGCTTAGTTTTCGAGATATTTCATCGGTCCGGGACTTTTTACTCACCTTGTATACTTTACACACGTGCATGCGTACGTAGTACGTCTGAAAAAAACAATCTTTTCAAAGACTATAGTTTGGGTGAGTGCCAGAAACGCATGTATAATAAAATAAATATAAGAGGAATATTGCCAAAGATATCAATATCAAAGTATCGAATAATTAAGGCTCTTAGGGCCAATTTTTCAATGATAATTTAAACTTAAATTTTAACTCGGTTCTTAAATCTTAAAATCTGTTTAAATGAAATAAACATATTGTTAGAATAAAGTTTCAACTTGAATCCAAGTTTAAACTGCTATTGAAAAATCGCCCCTTAGTCTTATTACTACGGAAACCTGGTTTAATGTAGTCGATAACGGCAGAAATGAGAAAATGCATGCCAAGAATTCTTGTGTATTGTTTTTATATAAAAATATATTTATATTGATATAAAAGAACACTTCAGATCGTTTGAACAACATACTTGTACAATACTCTGAAAACTATTCTTTTCTCTTGATGATCAATAAGTAGCCTTAAAGTTAATGTAAAATAATTAGGGAAGGTGAGTTAAAGAGGAAAGTTGCATGTAAAATAATGAGACTACAGCCTTAACGACACAATGCTCGTGTGCAGGTAGAACGCTACAAAATAAACTAGTAAGTCCTCTACTGTTATGCAAAATTTGTAATAGTTATTAAAAAATTAAAGAATATAAGCGAATAAATACGCAGAAAAACCGGTATAACAGCCTTCTGTAGACGCAGTCTTGGGATAAATAACTCGGATCTGTTGATAATCTTTTGATCGTTATTGTCGAAATTGCGTTTAATGCTGATCTATGAAGGTGTGCAGCCCAGTATCATGCGTTACCAAAAGATTGTCAGTAGTTTCGATATATCTTGAATAAGATTTTATCTATGGAATTCATTCTACCGTTTCTTGTTCATCCATTTGTAATAGCGTTCTTTTATTAATTCTTTAAGGCTTCTGGCTGCAAAAATTCCTGCAAAGTACATCGAAATAAAAAGATATATTAAAAAATGACACATGCAATCGATTAAGCTAAAACACTTCGAGCACTTTTCTTTTACTCTAACAATCGATTGCAAGTGTCATCTTTTGCACGTATATTTTTATTTCGATATACTTTTCAGGAATTTTGTGCATAAGTTTTTTTGTTTCTGACGTCATCAATCAAAAGTTCACAGCGAGAGACTAGGAGCTTAAATCAATAGAAGCAGTAGCATTAACCAATAATTTGCCGATAATTATCATGACAGTACATCTTTTAAATCTATCTCTTCGTATGATTCTATCATATTTATTTATAAATTATTGATAGTTAAAGCAAGAAAGAACTTTGTTCTTGTTATATATAGTTCTTGTTTGGACTATTTTATAGATTTTATCCATCGATTGCGAGTGTCGCTTTACGAATATATCTTTTTACTTCAATATATTTCATAAGGATTTTTAGCATGCGTTTCTTCGCTTCTGATGTTATTAAAAAGAGATGGACGATGCGAGTACTCAGGAGTCTCAATAACTATTGCGAATTTCGCAAAACTGTGTAGAGAGAACTTTACTGTTTAAGTGTAATGTACTCTATCTGTACACGAACGTTATGTCATTAATTATCAGGCAATTTGTACATAACCTTAAATAATAGAATTCATTAAGATCATTACTCATAAAATTAAATTAGAAAGAATTTTCATACAAATTATGGGTAATATATAAATATACGTATGCAATTTCTTACAAATATTTATTCTATTACTGCACAACATACGCTTAATTACACGAATTAATTACATTCATATATGATTTCAGACAAAAGGACGTACCTTCGCAAAAATGGCAAGAAGTGGCAGAGAGCAAAAAGCTGCAATCTAACGTCTTCGTGGACAGCGACGAGGATGACGACAACGAATTAGAGGAAAGGATTCAACGCGCGGCTCTCGAGAAGTCTTTGAACATACGTAAACAGATGCAACGTGAGCTTGCCGAAAAAAGGGCAACACCAGCACAGCCAATGTCCGCACCGACGCCTCCACCACCATTGCCCAAAGAGCCGCCAATGCCAAAGCAAGCGCCTGTCAAGTATCCTACGCCACAGCCGCAAAATAAGTTTCAGTCATACAAGGACCCATCTCTATCTGTACCTCAAACCACACCCACCAAGTTCAGTTCCAGCAATAATTTGGGTGGCAAATTTCAACCAATTGGCCAAAACAGCGGAACCGGACATCCGCCGGAACCACCACGTCCACCACCATCGACGAAGAATCAAAATCAAGCCAAAGGTCCGAGAACTGATTCTGATAGTGAAGCCGAACGTCAGCATCGGCAAACTCCGAAAAAACGCGAATCTAATAGCAGGGGCGGAGTGAATAAGAGAATGAGCAGAGATCGTCCAGCGAAACGATCTCGCAGTAGATCTCGCAGCGCCTCCAGCTCGGGCTCGTCGAGATCTCGATCGCCAAGACGAAGTCGTTCACGATCATATTCAAACCGACGATCCGGAAGTTACGAAAGAAAGTACAGTAGATCACCTTCGGGCACATACAGTAGATCGCGATCAAGGTCACGGTCTAGATCGTACACGAGAAGTCGTACTCGCAGTAGATCGGGCGACAGGGGCTACTATCGTAAGAGGCAATTTCGGCCGTACAATAATCGCGGTACATATTATAAGCCGCGTTTCCAAGGATTCAACAATCCAAACCATCGTGGCGGCGGTAATAATTTCCAGAACCGGAACCGTTTTTACAATAATCAACATAACAATCGTTTCGGTAATCGACGCGGTGGCGGTTTCAATAATCGTGGTGGTGGTCGCGGTCGTGGCAACCGTGGTGGTAGATTCTTCCACGGTAAGCAAGGCTTCCGCGATTTCCGTGACAGACGAGATTTCAGAGATCGACGCGCGACATCGCGTGATCGTTATAGCGATCGCAGCTACTCGCCAGATCCAATGCGAAAGGTTGACGAGGCGAAGGAAAAGATAAACAAGATGCTCGAAGGTGGTGACGATGTTGAACATCAGCAAGGTAGCGGTGGCTCGACAGTGCCGCCCAACAAGAGACAAGCTGGACCCTTGAGTGAGGGCGAGGAAAGAGACGATGATGACTATGAGAGGTGGGGAGAGGGGGAGGGGGGCGACACAACTAATAAGGTTGGTTAGGTTCTGTGTAGGCTTTCGTAAAAGAATAGATAATCTTCTTCATGATGATCATGATAATCATGATAATCCGGACGATGATAAAAGAAGGAATAATTGATGAGAATAATAACAATGAGGATGGCAATGATGATGATGAAGATGAAGATGATGATGATGGTGGTGGTGGTGACGGTGATGATAATGATGATGATGACGATGATAAAAATGATGAGGATTATGATTATGATGATGATGATGATGATGATGATAATGATGATGATGATGATGATGATGATAATCAGCCACATGCGCGAGAAAACTCGAGTCAGGAGCCAACTAACTCTCGTTTGTTGCTAGAGTAAGGAGGTTGGACCTATCAACGATAACCTAGAAGGCAAGGAGTACTTCATTGAGCGCATGAAGCAGCGAAGCAAGAGTGTTTTAATGCAGAGAGCCATTGCAGCTAAGATTTGGTAGATACCACTGTCGTCGTCACCGTCGCACTGTTTCTTTGTTTCTCCTTCGTCTGTGATATAGTCATTTTTCTCGATCCGTAGTCAACGGCGCTCGATCATGTGAGACACCTATACTTTCGTAGATTTAGCACTGCTCACTCTTTCAATGAACGTATCTAATTAATTTAACCCACATATGGCGTAGCAATAATTAGGTGATCGTTTAATACTGTTTTATTAATACGCGATAAACACTTAATGAAACATACAATGGCGAGTGGCTTTTCATCATCATACATTATCAGAAAAAATATCAAATTTCTTTGTTTTATTATACAATCTTTATTCATGTACAAGGCAGTCATGATATTCTTAACATTCTTATTAGGGTTCCTACTATTTTTGATCATATGCATATATGTGCATATTCTTGAAAATCGTAGTCACTACATGTCAAAGCATATATACCAGTCTATGTATATTGAATTGAGTTTTGTGTATATTGAATATGCTTATCCATAATAAAAAAATTGATGTAATATCTGTGAAGTGTGTTTGTATCGTTAATGTCGAGCTTTAATGGTCACGTTTAGCGGAGAAAACTGCTCCGTTATCGCTCCATAGCGAATGTTCATGATTGGAGTATTCTTTTAAACCTTTAACAGATCCGGACAGGCGTTCGCCACGGAACGGTATGCGGAGCAGTGTAGTGATTCTCAACGTCGTGCGAATGAGATGCACATGCGAAAATCCTATAGTTCACGTCACATACTATAGATTTTCGCATGCGCATCTCATTCGCACATGTCGAGAATGGGCTTCAGTTTTCTCCGCTGAACTTGACCATTGTTCTACCTTTTCTGAGTATTGGATTGGTTCTTTGCGAAGTAAGCGCGAATGAGCAACAGTTGCTTGCTTCACGTTGCGTATGGCTGTCATTGCCGAAGCCGAATGACAGTTCGGCCGAATGTCAGATTGAGAAGTTAATAAATTAATAAATAGGATTAATTTTTATTATTATATATAGTTTAAGATATGATGTCAGATAAGTATCGCTGAATACACAAAAATACATAAAAATGAAGATATGCTTTGTATGCTTTGCATATCTTTTTATCTTTTATAGTTAATTAAAAGATCTAAAAGAAGAAAAAAAGAGAAGAAAAAAAAAGAAAAGTAGAACAGAGAAAGTGGGAAGAAATGAAGAGGAGAGAGATGAACAGGAAGAGAAGGCAAGCACAGGTAAGGAGATGAATAGAGGAAAATATAGTAGTAAGGGAAGAAGATAGATGTAGGAAGAAAGAAGTATAAGGGGGATACATAATTATGAATATCTATAACATTTTTATTTTGATTCATTATATGATAAAATTAAATATTCTCCTTTAATATCTAATTCAAAATTATAATTTAGTATAATATAATAATAAATAATGTCCGAATATTTTTTTAAATATGACATTGAAAATAGGATATGTTCCTAATCAATAAACATAGAAGACCTACTACTAAATTTTTTAAATAAACCCTTATAACACCAAACATTGCAGTAAGGTTATGGGTAGGTTACAAGCTTACACATTTCAATGAGTATGTTACTGCAATCTGCCATTAACCTTACAAGATAACTTTACATTATAATATTGTCATAAAGTTAGTATGATCTTTAATATTTTAGCAAACTTATGTGTAATTATTTCACTTTCTGTGTATCTTAAAAATACTACACAATTGAAATATAGTTTATTAATAATCACTTAATTGTATATACAACTTTTTTCATATATAAAAATTTTTTTCATTAAAAAAGCAAATATAACTAAATTAAAAAAAAATTAAAATAATAATAAAATTAACTCTAGGTTGTATTCAACAGCTGCTTCAAATGCTTTAGTTTTATGTATATCTCTGACTTTTATTATATGAAATATTTGGACTACATAGTTGGAATTTCTGTAGTTGTATTAAATAATATTATAAGAAAATTATAATTACTGCTTTGGCTGCATATGGGGATAGTAAAAACCGCTTAATATCAGTTGAAGAAATAGTGCAGCAGCCAAAATGATAGACTAGAGGTATCTGAGATCTCGAGTTCGCGTCCGACTAGTACTGAGTAAATTTTTAGGTGTGAAAACAGTGAGAATGCAAATAAAAAACTAATTTCATTTAAAATCAATATAAACTCAGACAGCACAAAATATTCTCAGGATAATCCTGAATATGTCTCGGATGTTCTGGGATATTTACAGGATATGCAGGATGACCATGGAATATCCTGGGATATTTGCAGGACATGTAGTATGACCATGGAACGTCCTGGGATATTTGAAAGACATTCGGGATGTTCATGGGACGCCCTGGGAAAATATATGACATCATCTACAGGACAAGTGTAGGATGCCTTCTAGACGTTTGTAGAACGTCCTCACATAGCATAAATTTGCAGACGTCCTAGCGACGTCCGACACAGATGTCTATATTAAACTAGATCGCTAACAAGGGCTTTGAATGTGTGTCGCGTAAGGTTTCCGGTTGCATGCGAGAAAATGGCGGCGGCTTGTGTGTGTGACACTGAGTACTTACAATAAGGGCCAGCGCACGAACATTGTCGTAGCTCCTCACGCCACCTTACGTGACAATCTTAAGCCCATTCTATAAAATTATAAACATTGCGCTATAACCTCTTCCCAACACTATGTATAGAATATGTTTAACATATAAATATTAAAGTAAAATTTTAGGTTCTTAAGTCAACAAATATGAAAACATCAAAGTCTATGAAATTAAAATGTTTATTGTTATCATTACTCTTAATTTATTATATGAGACTAAAAAGGAGAAAAACACACAAAAGTTGGCAAAATAGAAGATGGCTCGTGAGACCAATTAATCAACAGAGAAAATAGCAAGGAGAATGAAAATCTGTTTCAAGAATTAAAAACTGATAAAGACATGTTTGTCAAATATGTCAGGATGAATGTTCAATATTTTAACAAGTTATCAACCATGCTTATTTGGTAAAAAAACCAAGAAAGCTCTGTCTCCACAGAGAAACACAGGTTAATAATAACATTAAGGTAAATATAGTTTATTAGTAAAAAATTGTTTGATGTAATTACTTCTTAAATTTTTAATTATGTTTAGGAATCATTGTTAGAAAAATATGTTTTACGAAATTATAAACTATATAGCAAAAATTGTGATACATTTTTCAGATATCTTGCAACAGGGAATTCAATAGCAAGTATTGCATTTTCTTTTCGAGTTGGACAGTCAACTGTTAGACAGTTAATGAAAGAAGTGTGTGTGTGTGTCTAGTTATTGTTAATACATTACAGCCTCTATATTTAGCATGTCCAACTGAAGAACAGTAGAAAAATATTGCTGTTTTCTCTGTTGATTAATTGGTCTCACGAGCAATCTTCTATTTTGCCATCTTTTGTGTGTTTTTCTCCGTTTTAGTCTCACATAATAAATTAAGAGTAATGACAACAATAAACATTTTAACTCATGGACATAACTACCCATACAGCGCAGATCTTGCTGCAACGTTGCAGCAATATTAAAAGTTGCAGCAGTGTTGCTGCAAGATCTGTGTTGTATGGGTAAATAATAATTCATAGACTTTGATGTTTTCATATTTGTTGACTTGAGAACCTAAAATTTTATTTCAATATTTATATATCAAACATATTCTATACATAGTGTTGGGAAGAGGTTATAATGCAATATTTATAATTTTGTACAGATACATTTAACAGTTTAATAAAATTAATATGTACTCAATATAGACATTTCTAATTATGGCTGTAAAGATAAATTATTATCGTTTCTTTACTTATTGTTTAATAATCTGATTTAGTTACCTTTATCACGGAACCTCTATGTTCCTTCGTAACGTAACGTAACATTTTCGTGCGTTGCCGTACGTTCAGCTTACGTCTCACGTAACGTAAGGTTGTCACGTAAGATGGCGTAAGGAGCTACGGCAATATTCGTG